ATAATTTATAACGTAAAGCTAACATGTCTTCTGATTATATTTAGAAAAGTTAGACAGAATGTTATGGATTCATAGCATCTGTGTATAATTCAATTCTATTATTAGCAGTCCAATATAAGTAAAATTCTAACATCCTTTAATTAATTTTTTCCCTCCAAATCACAGAGTTTCGTAGAGAAGAAGTGATATTATTTTAATCAAGTGTCACTAAATTAAAGCATAGGGTTTCCTAGATAAGATGAAAACTCGTATATATATGTTTAGCGTATTTTGAGAAATGCACGGGTAATTTATTCTGCTAAAATTCAGATTTGAAGCATATAGGATTGTTCATCACTCAATCACGAATCTATAGAATCAAATTTGGGTTAAATCGCGGCTGCGGAGCTCAAAATATGACTATTTTAGTGAAGCATGGCTGGAACCGTAATTATCCCGAAGCCTGTGTTTTATTTAGTTCTATTGGGAGCAACCCAGTATAAGTAAAGTTTTAAGATAGAGATCATCTCAAAATAAATGGTAATTAGAGATGATTCAATTACTCTATGTTAGTATTTGTTTGTTTAAAAAAACAAGATAGTCCCACATTAGAATTTTGAACATTCTTTTAGAGGTTTAAAAGCATTAGATGCTTATTGGGCTTTGAATAATGGATTAAAGTGTAGGCTTCTAAACCCGCGTGCGGGTAGCGCGATTATTAGACGCACTTAGCACTTTGCACGCTTGCCGCTGCCGCTTAAATGTTCTATTTTATATATATATATATATAATTATATATTGAATATATTATTTCTAATGTTATTTTGAATTTTAAAAATTATGAAAAGACAAGTGACTGTTGAAAAGTGGTTGTTTGCTCCAAGGGGTGTTTTGAAAAGTTATGACTGTTGGAAACACCTTTTCAAACCTATAAATAATTTATGTTTTCAGATATCTAAAAACAATTCTTTTCTGAATCTTTTCTATCAAAAACATCTGTAATATTACAAACTTGTTTCACAACGAATTAAGGAAAATTCCAGATTTGCTTACTGGAATTTTCTTTTTCTGTTGTATCCTGTGAAGAAAATTTGCATTAACCCGAAGCAACTTTGAATATCAAGTGGGGGCAGATATTTCTTTAAGGAAAGTGTTTCACGCCTCAGAATTTCTGTCTCCTTCATTTTAAAACTAACACTCTAATCTAAATTGTATGTTCAAAATTTAAGGATTGGCCCTTATCATCCCAAAAACCGTTATTGTCTTGAAAACCAATGTTATAAAAATCACTTTTGGGAGAGTAAAAATTCTATGTTCATCATATCTCTTGAAGTAGAAATAGATGCTAAAAATTAAATTAATTATACCATTTCCAATTATCGCATAACTAGAACCGATCTAAATTCAGAATGGAAGTATGAACATGACATAGTCATAGTCCAACCCCAATCCGCTTTAACTGTTATTATAAAAAAAAATTCCCTCAAGCATAAAGTTTCCTAGAGAAGAAGTGACAGTTGTTTACATTATGAAAGAAGCATCACTAAAGCTTTCAAGTATTAATCCTTATTTAAATTACTTAATGCATTACGGGCTACTTTTAAAGTTCCAAACAACTATTGTCTATAATGGAAACTTCCTTTCACTAACATTAATTAAGTGAAGAGTCAATAAGCTTTCTTAAGATCAAATAATTAGTTTGGAGTGAGTTGCTTTCAATGATCAGTTAAAATTCGTCACATGCATCTCTCAATTGCGCTGTTCAGATGATGAAAGGGTGCAGCAGCACTCTCCCAAGTCAAAATTCTATGCCCACTCGTGCGCAGAAAGCTGAGATTTTGAATTATGGCCACCTGAGACAATATTCTCTAAACAGTGGCTTAAATAATATTATTATTTTCTGGCTATAAATAGATTGCTAGCTTTTTCTGGCCCATCTAATAGTTTGAATCTGATCAATTTGGGATTCTTTCCACCAATAAAGTGAAGGTACGGAGGCTGACTTCTTAATTACAAATCAGTAGTCTGGTGCACGGGTGTTTAAAAAGCCCGCGGCCCGGACCCGGCCGGGTCGGTTGGCTTGGAAATCCAGGCCAAAACCGGGCCCGGGTCCGGACCCGGTCATCGGCGACCGGCCCGGGCCCGGGCCCGGCCCGGAATAGTAACTTTTTTAATTTTTATTTTTTTACATGTATAATATATATATATATGATATTTTTTTATATATGTATGTATGTATATATATACATATATATTTATACTCTCTCTCTCTCTTAGAATATAATTATATATAAGTATATATACTATCTATTATATATGTATAAAATATGTATAAGTATACTCTCTTTTATATAAGTATATATATGTATATGTATGCTCTCTCTTAATATATGTATAAGTATATATAAGTATACTCTCTCTCTTATATGTGTATGAAATATGTATAAATATATATAAGTATGCTCTCTCTTAATATAAGTATATTCTCTCTTATATATGTATATATCTCTTATATAATTATATATATGTATAAGTATGCTCTCTCTTATATATGTGTACAGTGTATACTCTCTCTCTTAGTATATAAGTATATATAAGTATACTCTCTCTTATATAAGTCTACATATGTATAAGTATACTCTCTCTTACATATGTATAATATATGTGTATATATATATTTATACTCTTATATTGTAATTTCTATAAGTACTTACAATTTGTTTATGTATAATATATGAATGACATGAATATTTTGGGTTATTTAGTCTAGTGGTAAACTTTAGGAGTTTGGAGAGGAGGTTAATGGTTCAAATTCTAGCTACAACATATATATTTAAAAGTCTTTGATAAGGCATTGGGGCTCTTTGATCTACAATTATTTTTAATTTTGTTTATTTCTATAAATTCAACAGCTCCTTTGATATCTACAATTATTTTTAATTTTGTTTATTTCTATAAATTCTATACTTATTTTATATTATTTTAATTTTTATATTTTTTTTATATTTGTAAATTACATAATTACAAATGATTAATAATATATTTTTTTAATCAAAATTGTGTATATTTTTGTCTTTTTTCTTTAAAACTTAAAAAAAATTTTAAAAAAAATAAAAAATTTCAAAACCGGGCCGGCCCGATGTCCGGCCCGCTTAGACCGGGCCCGGGTCCGGGCTCCGATTTTGCCCGACCCGTGCCCTGTTTTTCCGGGCCGGACCGGGCTGGCCCGGATGGACACCCCTAGTCTAGTGCATAAGATGCGTGCATGATATAAAGCATGAGAGGAATGTTGTAATTGAATTGTTAAAGAAATACATAGTTATATTTTTTTCTTCTTGATTTTAAGGGTATTTCTATAATTCTTTTCCCCAACTGTGAGGATATTTCCTTAGATTTTGTCAAGGTGTGAAGACATTTTTGTTTAACATTCTAAAATTATGGCTCTAAAAATAAAAAAGGACGCTTTTCTTAATATATAGTATAAATGTATAGTAAAAACCGCGAGCGTAAACAACTTGATGATACTTAATAGAATGAAGAAAAATTCCTCAAGGACCCAAAATATGGGACCAATAGAGGGGACAAGTGAGGTGTCCCCCTCCTATTGGATAATGAGTTGGTCATCATTAATGATAGTCAACTCATCATTAATGATATTCACAAGGTAATCCTTTCCCACGTGAGAAGAATAAATTATTTTTGCCTATATCACACCTAAGCGGAGCAATATGGATATTGGTCTATACATCCTATCAAAACCAATATTTTTTTTCCCGTCTATATCACAAAATACAACTAAGCGGAACAATATGGACATTAAACTATGCACCCTATCAGAATCATAATTTCTCCCATGGATCATAGTATACAACTAAGCGAAATAATACGGATATTGGACAACACATCCTATTAGGGCCACCCGTACGCGACGGGCCGGTCTAAGACCCGCACTGTGGGGGGCAAAAATCCAAATTTGCCCCCTATTTATTCCATCAAAGGATTGAGATGCTCTACTAATATTTCCTAATGAGATCTTGACCTTTGATTTATCAATCAAAAGTCAAGATCTCCTCATGAGCAAAATTAGGGAGAGGATAAGGATGAGATCTTGGCCTTTGATTGATAAATCAAAGGCTAAGAGCTATTTATTAGGAGATATTAGGAACACTATTTATTAGTAGATGATCCCAATATTCCATCAAATGCCACAAAATCATCTCTCTCGTGCTAATGGTTCTGATTGAAAGAGAACTCTAGATATTGTAGTCATCACTGCAAAGTTATTATAGTCACAAAATTAGATAATTAATAACGAAAAAGATTACTTAACTTGCAGTGGATGTATGAAGAGCACACATAGCTACTCTGGCATGCACTGCACAGGATATAAATCTCTCTCACGCAATTCAAAATGGATTTATGGCTGGTTTCTGCAACTTATGCTCTTTAGAGGCTGTCAGCAAACAGGGTGTGTTGCTGACGTGTAATTGCCTTTCGACAACTTTTGCTGTAGAATTTTACATCACGCGCCTAGTAACATTATATGCTGGCAAAAGAACAACCGATATCATTACCAATTTTATCTTGAAATTTGTGATATGTTGAAGATGATATTTTCCCCACAAGTATGGGAGCAAGTGCATCCCCCATTTTTGATTCACTTGTCGGAGTTCTACGTCAGTTAACTAATCCAATTTAAATTTGGTCAATTATAGATAACGTCACAGTGGAATTGAAACTTTATACAAAAAATACATTAATCACATTTAAGATTCTGATTATGCATTTGACACTTCACTGGGAAAAGAGCTAGATATCATTATAGATATCATTATGTCCCACGCATAAGGATTAAGTCTAATCATTTTCCTTGGCGAGGTAGCAAAATGGAAATGGGAGGAAAAATCTAATCATTTTTCTTTATTTTTTTTCAATCCATTCGTACGCGAAAAGGATGCACAGTCCACAGACATACTGCAGTACATTGAAATTTTCCAAAAAATTGATTATAGCGTACAATATAAACGTGAAAATATGGTAATACTTCATGTGCAGTAGAAAGAAAAGAAAAAACATACAATAAAGATGTTGCTAGCTAATAGAACTCTTCATCACCAGGAACATTACATGATCGGTCGTGAGAATAACTTGATTTAGCCCGAACACCATAGGTTACAGCATAACAAAGTGCCCGAGGCAACAAAGATAAGGTTGCTATGTCCGCTATTACAATTCTAGTTTAATTGCTATGCTCATAATTAACATCCACCTCAGTTTCAGAACAAAGAAGATGCTAGCTCTTTTACATCCGACACCACTTGATCATACTCAGATTGCAGCTTCTCCTGCACCTCCGGCCCTAGTTCTCCCTTTGTCGGTTTTGTTGTCACTAGAACACAACAAGTTGGTCTCTTGGTGACTCCCGCAGTTGCAAGCTCCTATTGGAGACAATACGAAGAGCACAAAAACTAGTCAGCAAACGCTGGAGAGGACTAGTGAGTTTCAAGTATCTAGATATGGGGAAAATGATAACTATCTCCTTAGATATTTTGAATTGCCTTTTCTTCTATCTTGTACTGTTATTATGATTATTCTGGACTCAAAATTTTCATATAGGTTGTCTAGGTTATAGCTGAACCTTCACAAGGATTGAGATTCCACTAGAGCATAGTTTTAAATTCTACTCCTGGGTCAATAACTCGTAACTCATCGGTATTTATCTACTATTCTCTCAGCAATGGGAATGTTAAAGTGCCTATGCGAAACTGCAGATATCAGTTTAAGTGCATTAGGTTATAAGGAAAGCAACCATACCTCCTTAGAAGAGACATATATGTAAGGAATATCAGCTTCTTCACATAAGATAGGGACATGTGTTATCACATCAATGGGCGAAATATTTCCTGCGATCACACACAACCTGCATGCACCAACAAATTCCAAAAATATTTCTGTAAGTTGCCGAACAAAGAAAAACCATAATCACTTGCCCAAAAAAAGTTGAGTAAATTTTTAGGTATATATTTGCAGTACCATAAAAAAGACCTTGAGCTCTATTGTCAACCATACCTCGTGTCAAAAACACCAGTATGCTATGCAATATATTGTACTTCAAAGTCAAATGCCAAAAAATAATATTCTCACAAATCTTACAAGGATAAAAGTTTCCACCATACCTTGTGTAAAATGCAAAGAATGCTATACAATATCATTTAGTTCAACGTCAGCTCTCAATGTCATTCTACAAAAATAACAACCAAGATTTTTCCCTAGAAGTTAAATGGTTGCTGGATGATTATTTTTTCACTATTCTACTCTTCTCAGGCCATGTTCCTCATTATGACTTTGGTGTGGTTTGTTGTATAGGTGAAGTTGCATGTCACTTAATTTGCACCAGTGGACGAATGAACATGCACAGGTGGAGAAGACCACAAGTAATAACATGAGCGTGCAAGGTGACTATGCAACATACTGAACACGTCCACTGCAACTGTGTCATTATGTAATATGGGTGATGAAAGAAAAGTCTCTTTCAGGACAGCGCACCTTGAAGATAAGAATGTAAGGGTAGTAGTCACCTTGTTCAAATTGGATGGTCGAGAATTACTTGATAACAATGTTTGACTGACCGTGTAAATTTAAATTGACACCGACTGATTGTAGACTTAAATTGACACATTATAAATTCACTACAGAAAATCATTAAGTCATAGCATACTTAAGTCTAACCTTGCACAATTTTCGTATAAAGTGTTGAACCAATTAAAAACGCTTTAGCTCAAGTCATTTTCCAATTAGGTACAAAATGAAAGAAATGTCACAGCTAAATTAATGGATTGAATATGATTAAAAAATATTTAAGGTCAGAAAGTCATCAAATATGCTTCTTTTGTGAGAAGAACACACATGAATAAATGAACATTTAAGATAAAAAATAATAGTAGTAGTAATAATAATAAAGAAATAAAATGACGGACTACTATAAAAGAATTTAACGAGCAATTATATGACCAAATAATGCAAGAGATGGAATAGAATAAAATTATAAATAAAAATAAAAACCATGATTAAAAAATTTAAGCACCCTCACAACAAATATACAAGACATATTTGTTGTATAGAATTGTTATTCAATTTAAATGGTTTGTGCCACAGCTCATATTTAGTAATATATGATCTAGAAACCTATCATGTTTTTGTACAAAAGAGGTCAGAATTCAAGATCTAACATATATATATAACTGATGACATAAGCTCTTCATAGTTATCATATTGCTAGTAATAAATCAAGGATAGAGAAACCAACCCTTTGTGACCTCGACGAATGCTCTTAACAACTTCCTTCACACCTCTTTTAAGGCATTTAGATTCAGCAGCTGAAAGTTAAGATGGTCAATCACTTAGTCCCCAGATATCAATGGTATAATAGAAAAAAGAAAAAAGAAGAGGACAGATCTAAAATGAATCTGAGATAAAACTCAATAAAAGAATATTCAAAAACGAGAAATTGAAGAACAAAAGAAGTGGCAACAACCAAACAAAAGCTCAGAATATCACAAATGACTATGTCCATATAAGTCAATATCCATTTACAGGTATGCGTCGACTCATAACAACATAAACTTTGACTGAACAAATATTATGATAATGCAAATAGTTTTTTAAAAAAAGCAACTACTAAACTTGCTTGAGGGCATGTGTAGGGACCTAAGACTAAGAGGACACACCCTTCAAAGCTAGCTGTTAGACAGAGGAAGCCATTAAATGAGACTAAATGGACCCTAATATGCCGCAACACTTCAGCAGTACGGACGCTCCCCAGCTTTCTTTGTACTAGTCTAATGGACATTATGATACCAGATTCACCCCTTGGTTTTGCAGTAAAATAGTCATGGACAAACATTGTAATGCCAATGTCGCCAAGGGCATTGCTCGCTTGCAACTGGGAAGGTGGTGTTGGCTCTACTACATTTGTTAGCGACCAAGAAGAACTCCCTAAAAGCTAGTTGATAGATATAGAAGAAACCAAATTTCTATAAACCCACATCTGACTCCCATTTAGTCAATGTGGGAATAAATGCATTATGAACCCTAACATACCACAACCCTTGGAAACTCTCGGCGCCCATACGGGTTGGTTTTGCACTAGTTTGGTCCTCTACACATGACTACAGTAAATACTGCAGCATAAGCATTACATCAAATCTGGCCGTCTGCACCCGAAGTTACTGTTCATGCTATAGTATTTTTTATTGTCGCATAAATAGTAAATCAAATCTATTCTCTATACTTGAAGTTATTATTCATGCTATAGTATTTACTGTATTATAAACAGTAAAACATATAAAATGTATTAAAACTTGGATCCTTCTTTTAAGTATAGAAGAGTAAATATGATTTCTAAATCAAATGTATTAAAACTTGGATCATTCTTTAAGTGTAGAGGAGTAGATATGATTTCAAATTTCAAGCAAACAATAATTAAATCAAATGTATTAAAACTTAAGAGGGTGGCAAGTTTAAAATGCAGTGCTTAAAAAAACAGAGGGTCGTGTTTTGCACGGGGTGCACACTAGTTGATAGATATGAAGAAACCAAATTTCTATAAACCCACATCTGACTCCCATTTAGTCAATGTGGGAATAAATGCATTATGAACCCTAACATACCACAACCCTTGGACACTCTCGGCGTCCATACGGGTTGGCTTTGCACTAGTTTAGTCCTAATTGAACACTGCAATTTTGGAGTCAACCATTTGGGGTTGCACAAGACTAGTTCAGGAAAACACTACAATGTTTGCATCACCACTCGCACAACTCACCCGCGATTGGGAAAGGTGGGGTTGACTTTGGAACCAGTTGTTAGACACCCAAGAAAACTCGTCGAAAATCTCTATAAACCCAAAAACTGACTCGCATTTTGTTAATGTGAGAATGCATGTATCCTAACAACATGGCAAACTACGTCCAAGAAATTATAAAAGTGTTCAATTCCTGGCTGATATAAAAAAACATATCATAGAGAATACTAATTCCATGGCAATACTACTACATAAATCTAAATAAATACGCCACTAGGATCAAATATCGCATCTTTCCACCAAATAGTATCATCATACGAAGGAACCCAGGGTCATAAAAAACTCAAATAATCTCCATACATCCAGTTTTCTTCTATCGAGGCAAAGCTACTAATGAAAAATATTCAGCTTTTGATAATATTACCTTTTCTGACGAGCTTGAGGATCTTTTTGGAGAGTTTCTTGCCAGCGAGGGGTTTGGTGATGGGAGAGAGACCCATCAGCTTCTTCCTCTCCTTCGTCGATTTCTCTGTCTCTCCATCGCTCCCCATTTTTCCTCTCTCTCTCTCTCTCTCTCTCTCTGGTTTTGGGGAGTTTCGGTGCTAGGGATTTTTTTTTTTTTTACTTTTTTGAGGCGACTGAGAAGAGAAGAGAATAGAAGATGGGCCGGGTCGGTTATTTGTATTTTTTTGAAAATGGGCCCAACAATAAGGCCCATGTAAGTTGGATTGCTAACCCTTGACTCTTGAGCTTAATTGATCATAAATAAAAGAAAAACGAACGGCTGAAAACTTACCCTCGTTCATCAATCACCGACCGAGAATCTTTCCCGCCAAAATAACATCATTTCCCGCCATAAGGCGCACCCTAAGGCGAAACAGAAAGGGAATCTGAACTCAACCAACACCGACTCTCTCTCTCTCTCTCTCTCTCTCTCTTCCCCCCTCAAGCAGCGGCAATGGAGATCAACGAAGATGTCTTGGCCGCTCACAAGCGAACCTTCTTAGATTTCCTCGATCAAGATGTAATCTTTTTTCCTTCTAACATTTCTAATTCTTACTTTAGATTATTTTCATTTTTTCTCCTAATTCTACATTTTTTTAAAATTTTTGCAGGTGGGCAAGGGTTTCTACATGAAATCGATTAGGGACATGATCCAGAATAAGCGCCGCCGTCTCATTGTCGGCATGGACGACCTCCGCAATTTCAGTCTCGATCTTGTGCGGAGGTCTAAATCCCTAAACCCTAATTTTTCAATTTCTGTCAGATTCTCTTTTCAGCAGTTTTTTAACCAAGGGTCAAGTTAAAAATTTACAGTTAGGTCATTTACTTTAGTAAAAGTGCTTCCTTTTTAAGTCCATTGGGCTTTTCTCGTTTTTCTGGCCAATCCAGTAAGCTAATTGGTTTTGATTAGCTTAATCCTTGTCTGAGTTATTATCCCTTTCACCAAGCTTTCACATTTTTACTAGAAAAATGGAAATTTGTGTCTAAACGACTTATTTCTTCACATTCCTATCTATTTTATTTGTTGTTGATTAACTGGGGGATGCTGATCTATGATGGCGAAATCTTTTTCATTCTAAGAGGAAGTGAATGTTCGTTAGCTTATGTTTATCTGCTTCTAGCTTGGTTATATATTGCCCGGTCAAAACCCTTGGTTTCTTAGAGGAAGTGAATGCTTAATCGGATATGTTAGGTTATTCCTTGTTTTGGTTGTTCCAAGATCAAAAAGCTATCTGATACCTGCATCAGAGCCTGCCACTCCTTATTGCATTGAATTGTTGTAGTTGCAAACTCTTTATTTCATATAAAACAAAGGTAAATGGCTTTGTTTTTATAATGTTCTGACAACCAACCAAAATGATACAGTGGCCAAATTGGGAGCTTCTCATATAGTTCTTTTGACTAACTTAAGCTTTTGTTTCCTTAGGCTGATTCGGAATCCAGCAGAGTACATGCAGCCGATTTCTGATGCATTAACAGATGTCACAAAAAATGTTGACCCAAAGTATTTGAAGGAAGGGGAGAGAGTACTTGTTGGGTTCAATGGGCCTTTTGGGTTCCATAAGGTCACACCAAGAGATCTCATGTCCTCTTTCATTGGCTCCATGGTTTGTGTTGAGGGCATTGTCACAAAATGTAATTTTTATCCTTTAAAGTTTTGTTCTTAAAGTTTTTGTCCTTTGGTTCAAATCATAGTTTTTTATTGATCATTTAGATTTCTTTTGATTGATCCAATATCTAGTTTGATTATATTGTGATATATTCAATTGGATGTTACCAATTGTAGTTTATGCTAGCTTATTATGCTATTTGTAGGGATTGATTTTTTGTGCAGTTTGGTTGCTCTGCAGTTCATGACAATTTTACTCTGCAACCATGCACAAGTATAAGGAAATTAGTTGTTTTTGGGGCTTTAAAAAACACAACCTTTATTAAATTTGTCATCAACACTTAATTTTGGGATAAGGTTAACCAAGGAAAAGCTAACCTCTAAAGTTCAAGTCGTAAAAGTGGGATTTAGAGCTACACTGAAAAGATGGTTATATAAATGATATGATCCTACTTGTTGAACTTATGATTAAATATGGTTAATCATTTTGAGTCAATTGGTCCAGATAGATTAGTCTAGTCGATTTGTCGTTGTGGGTCTTTGCATCCCTAACATTGTTCTGGGTAACAGGAACTTCCTTTGACTTGTAATCAAGGTTTATGTTTTAGTTGTATATCCTTTCAATCCTATAGATTACCTATATAAAAAAGTTTCTCTAGATCTGTCTTTTAAACACTCATGAATGTTCTTGTCATAAAAACATACATAAATTTTCTATATGAACAGATGCTTGGTTGGATTTTGTTACACTAATTTTGTTGCTTTTGTTGCTGAGGTGTTATAGTTTGGACATGGACTGTGCTCTTGAGTTCTTACTCATGCTCTGGAGTTGTTATTTATCTGAAGTGGTATAAACATATTGAAGTGTGTGCATGTTTTTTGTTTTTGTACCTTGGGGTAGCAAAGTAGTTCCATCCGTTCCCATTTGGTTCTTGGTTCAGTTTAATCTCACTTAGCATCTTTCTTGCTTATTGATAATGATAATCCGTTTGTTGAGCACTTCTATGTTCTTTGTAAATCTTTCTTGCCTATACCCAATGCATAATTGTTTTATTGGCTTATGGAGCATACAATTAGCTAAGTTATGAATTTTCGGTTGTGAATTTTTTTTCGAAGCCATTTATCTAATGCCCCAGTTCTGTCTCTCTTGTCTACAGGTTCCCTTGTAAGACCCAAGGTCGTTAAAAGTGTTCATTTTTGCCCTGCAACACAGCTATTTACTTCTCGTGAATATAGGGACATTACATCTCCTATAGGTTTGCCTACAGGATCTGTGTATCCAACACGGGTAATATTCAGTTCTGGCTTCCTTAACATGTGTTTTTTTCCTTCTCTTTGTTCAGTACTCAAGTCTCATCATGCAAGTTTCTTTTTTGTATTTCTTGTTTTTTTCATTCAGGATGACAATGGGAACTTACTGGTCACTGAATATGGATTGTGTGAATACAAGGACCACCAAACACTATCCATGCAAGAAGTACCAGAGAATTCTGCTCCTGGTCAGCTTCCAAGAACTGTTGATGTTATCATTGAAGATGACCTGGTGGATTCCTGCAAGCCTGGAGACCGGGTAGCAATTTATGGGGTGTATAAAGCTCTTCCAGGGAAAAGTAAGGGTAGTTTGAATGGGGTATTTCGGTGAGTTGGACGATATCATATGGCATAATATTTATATATTTGCTGCATTTTCCCATGGTTGCACATTCATTTTTCTCTTGTCAAAAACAATCCGGTATATGTTTTCAGGACTGTCCTTATAGCCAACAATGTTTCTCTGTTGAATAAAGAGGCGAATGCACCGATATATTCTCTGGAGGACCTCAAGAGAATGAAGGAAGTAGCTAAACGAAATGACACATTTGATCTGCTGGGAAGTTCCTTAGCACCTTCTATATATGGCCATTTGTGGATAAAGAAAGCTGTTATCTTACTGATGCTTGGTGGAGTGGAAAAGAACCTGAAGAATGGTACCCATTTAAGAGGGTATATAACTGTGCACATGTATTCATGTATTTTTGTAAATATTTCTTCTAAGCATGTCACTTTTGTCATCTCAATTTAACTTTCCTTTAACAGTGACATAAACATGATGATGGTTGGTGATCCTTCAGTCGCCAAGTCTCAGCTCCTAAGAGCAGTGATGAATATTGCTCCCTTGGCGATCTCAACAACTGGTCGTGGTTCTTCTGGTGTTGGATTGACAGCTGCTGTTACTTCTGACCACGAGACTGGTATATCAATTTTTTTAAATATCAATTGCTGCATACTTTTTTTAGTTTTATGTCAAATTTCTCATGAACTTTGTCTATTCAGGAGAGAGGAGGCTTGAAGCTGGTGCAATGGTCCTTGCTGATCGAGGTGTTGTCTGCATTGATGAGTTTGATAAGATGAATGATCTCGACCGTGTTGCCATACATGAAGTTATGGAACAGCAGACGGTGACAATTGCTAAGGCAGGGATTCATGCATCATTAAATGCCAGATGTAGTGTGGTCGCTGCTGCAAATCCTATATATGGAACCGTGAGCTCTAACTTTCTCTCACTTGAGTTGGCTGTCTAATGGGACAAATGATTTTTCAGTTACTATGAGAAGTAAGGCTTTTTGATATGTATGTTCTTCATCTGATTTTATTTCATAATGGATCTTTAACAGTATGACCGCTCATTGACACCAACAAAGAACATTGGGCTTCCGGATTCGTTGCTTTCTCGTTTTGACTTGCTATTTATTGTGCTTGATCAAATGGATCCAGAAATTGATCGTCACATTTCAGAGCATGTCTCTCGTATGCATAGATATTGTGCTGATGATGGAGGTAAACTAGTGCTCCAAATCATGTGATTTCTTTATTGCTTGCAGTTGCAGATTCTTGCCTTCTAATTGGCAGTTGTATCTGCACAGGAATGGGGAGCCTTGGCAAAGGTTCAAGGTATGTTGAGGAGCAGGAGGATGGTGATATTAATGCACCCATATTTGTTAAATATGATCGTATACTACATGGTCTGGAAAAGAGAAGAGGGAAAAAGCCAAAGCACGAGAGGCTCACCATAAAGTTTCTCAAGAAGTACATCCACTATGCGAAAAACAGGATTCAGCCAAAGCTCACAGATGAAGTAAGTCTTCTTATAATGGATTGTCATTTACTTGATAACAATTCAACCCTTGGAAACAATGAGGGCCACATTTTTCCAATGTTCCTTTAGCTTCAGGAACTAGCCCACAATTAGGATGAAGTTAAAATCATTTGTTTATTCTAGAGAATTGCACTGCCAATTGTTCACTAAGGAGTTTGATTCCATATTGCTGCAACTTGCAATTGTTCATGAAATGCGGTGAAGTGTAACTGCCAATAATTAGTTTGTTCATAGTGAAGCGGACTGCCAATTGCTTATTCACTAGAATTTCCTGTTTTATCATTTCTTCTAACTGGTGGTGTCATCGTCAGGCATCTGATTACATTGCAACTACATATGCTGAATTCAGGGATGCAAGTGCAAATGCCAAGGTAGGTCTGCTGATAAACTGAAAAACGTAATTAAATAATCTTGCCACATTATCATATGGTCGTTTTATCATATGTTACATCCTTTTGCTTCCAGTCTGGAGGAGGTACACTTCCAATCACCGCAAGGACATTAGAGACAATGATTCGGCTTTCAACTGCTCATGCCAAACTGAAGCTGAGAAATGAGGTGATTTTTTGAATACATTCTTACATAATTATCAAATGCATGGTGATCCACACACATGCAGACATAGATGCACCTTTATACACACATAGAGGGGGCTTCTTTGAGGCTGTCGACTGGAATCTGGCATGAACCCTACTTATACATACTGTAATGAAGATCATCTACGAATCTGGCATGATGTATTAGGGAATGTTTCAGCACTAACACCTGCAGGTAGTAAATTTATTAAGGTTTCTAAAGGTTGTCTATTTTGGGGATAGTTATTCAGGTGTTTCAGTTCATCTTTTCTACATAATTGAAAATAAAATGTGTTTATCATAACTATTGGTGCAAGAGCTTCGATTAGGACATCCCCGATCTCATGGTCTATGTGAACTTAATATAGGAGAAGCTTTGTGTATAACCACTTAACGAATTGACCTCCTGCCATTCCTCAAGCCTCACTTTTTACCTAGTAGTGATGACAAAGAATGCACATTCTACTATGTTTTCACTTGTCATTTGTCAATTAAGAGTTTTGATTGGACAGACTTGTGGCAGTTCGTGAGGGGGTTGATCCATTTCTAGATTTATGATTTGTTCTCTTAGTGCAGGTTCTGAAAATTGATGTTGAAGCTGCTCTTAAAGTTTTAAATTTTCCTATATATCACAAAGAGTTGACCGACATGGAAGAGCGTGAAGAAGGGAAAGAGAGATGAAACGTAAAGCTGATAGCGATGCGATGAACACTGAAGAGAATGTTGGTGGAAGGTGAATCCGTTTTGACGAATATTGCATTTACACTATTAGTTTTAGAGCTCATTTTAATATTTACTAATATTACCTCCATGTTTACAGCACAACTGATGCCATGGAAGTTGATGGTGGCCCTGCGTCGGATGAAGTTGATATTTCTACAGAGAGGTTCCAGAACCCCTAATCTTTTGTTTATTTTCACAAAGGCTAATTTATTAGTACAAATGCTTAAGGTTGTTTTGTGGAACTGCAGAGTACAAGAATTTGAGACAATGTTGGGTCAGCATGTGGTTGCAAATCACTTGGATCAAATCTCCATTACAGAAATTGAACAACTAGTTAACAGAGAATCTGCTGTGCCTTACACAAGAAACCAAATTACGGCTATCTTGGAGGTAAATATTTGTGCGCAAATCTCATGGCTTTATTATACAAGAGATGATAATTTCTATTGAAATTTCTTAAACAGTATGTTAAACAACTCACGTTCCTTTCACGTTGTTTGGTTTTGCAGAGGATGCAAGATTCTAACAGGATAATGATAAGTGACGGAATAGTTCGAATTATTTAAATGACACAAAGAGAACAGAACTCAAGAAGATCTATAATCTGCAAATTTTTCCGCTGTGAAATCGTTTTTTTTTTGTACTCCTGTTCAGGTCTCAAGCTTTTCACCTGTATGAGTAAGCCTAAAACTATCTTGAGGAAAATTTGTAGACGTTGCAATTAAATGTCCCCATAGTTTGCGTTGTAAGCTGTTTATTTTCCCCCAGAGTTCCCCCATGTATGAATGTTGTTATTGCTAGAATATTTCAGAGGGAATTGTGATATTTTTCATTTGACTGTTTCAAATTCTCTTGCAATAAGCATAGTTCTTCCATTATTCTGTATTGAGTTCCGAAACACACGATATCATACTTGGAAACAGTTAACAAGAAGGCAGACTATACAGGAAACAAATCACTTCATGTCTAATTTGGTTGATTGATTTTTTTTTCTGGATTCACCTTTTTTTCCCCCACCAACAGCAGCTGAATTGAGTCTGCTTTGTTTAGGGAAATTAATTTCTATGCTCTTGTTCATTTAAAAGAAAACGCGACAGTCGGAAAATCTAAAGATAAAAGATCTGCTACCAAAATAATTATAAGCATAATATAGCTTTGATGACGAGGTTCATTTTTGTCATTAACAGCCAAACCCCTTAATGATGACAAATCCTTGCATCATTTCCAGATGCCAAACAAAGATCAAGCGTAACGCTTTTGCCACATCGGGGGAACTTTACAAGCAGCCTGGATCAACATGATACAACGAAAGGCTAAAGAAAATACAACAAATGCTATACAAAGCAAGTGGTTTTTGGAACTGCAATGAAAATTCTGCCATCACTTTCAGGAAATAATATTACAAATGCAAATCATTCTGTACATACAACAAATATTTCATGGAGACTTAGATAACAACTGTTTAGACTTCAAAGAATGGAGATGCTTAAGCTGCTTATTATTTGACACTGACTGTGTTAACGATCCTTTGTTCTTTTCCTCATATTCCTGTTTCAGCTCCTCCAGCCGTTTCGATACCTTAAGAAAATGAAATAAATAAGTAAAATAATTTCAAGATGCAAATTCTATCAAATATTGTAGATAGAGTTTGAATGATAAAATGAAATTAGATGTATCAAGTTCTATGAAGACACAAAGAGCATGCCATTTAGCAAGAGGCTTAAGTTTCCATGGTTCTCACAGAAGACGTGCAAAAATTTCCCAAAATCGATTTCCGGACAAACTTGAAAAGGCCATAGATCTAAATCTTCTTAACAAAATGGAAGACTTAAAGCGAAGGATTAAAAAAAAAATCCTCAATACTAATTAACACCATAGAGAAGGTATCTCCAGAAAGAATTACCATTCTGACCTTAAGGGACAGTACAACAAGATATGAACCAAGTAGAATAAATTTTTAGGGCTAAATTGCAGATTATACCTCTATAGGCTATAGCTAAACGGTCACATTCTCATACCTTAGACTACAGGGCAATGCTATACTTAAAGGTTATAACTCGTACGGTTGATTACCCACAATCACTACCAAAATCACAATACCTTCTGCTTGGTTTTAGGACGCAGACACCGGCTAAAATATGTAGATATCAACCGAATAGACACGAAGTTGTGCCCAGTCCATTGTTCCTCTTCAATATTAATAATTAATAGTTTAATTTCACTCATTCTCTTACTCTGAATATGTGATTGCAGTATCAAAGAATTTAATGAAGATCTTTCTTAATGTCACATTGATTTGAACTAAAAAGACATGTATTTGATATTAGTACTAACACCAAACAGGGTGCGGGAGATGATCATCACCTTAATTGAGAAGGCAAGGGGTAACAATGTATCTGGATCCATTGCATCCTCAGGGAAGTTGCGTAAAGCGTGTATAAGTTTCTCAAAAGGTAATTTTACCTGATGAGCAATAGAAAAAGAAATCAACAAAACGTGCACGTATATTTATACAAGTCCGAAGAAATCATGGAGCTCACCAGTTCATCGTGGCATAACTTCAGAAGGGCCAAACCCACTTGGAAAACAATTTGAAAACCCTGTCAAAAAGTAGTAATTATGAGTTTGGCATCCAGTATGAACGTTACAGTAATAAAGTTTTAATAGTTTATTCTATTCATAATTTAAATGTAACATTATCAGAAGGTGACAACTTCTCAGGAGTAAAGCAACACATGCTTGTTGTAGCATCAAGTTCGAATTGTGAATCCCTCGATAGTGATGCCAATATCAATAGCCAGCAACAAAAACTCAAAGTTTGACACAACGAAGCAGAAAAACTTAACAAAACTAACAAAATTTGGTCAACAACTGAACATAAAATGAAAACCATGAGAAAGAAAATAAGCCTATTGGCATCTCTACAGAAAAGATACCATAAAACCAAGAAGCAATCATGACAGCTTAAATATTTTACTGTAAACTAGGAGAAAAGATAAAGATCATATGGGAAACTTATTATTGGTTTTAAGATGAATTCCAATGTGCAAACATATATAGAGATCCTATATGATAAATCCTGGTCCATAGCGGTAGAAATATTTTAGATGACCAATTTTAACTAGGTAAATCGATGCGCATTGTTCGAACTTAATTATGTTGGAGTATAAAAACACGCTTAAATTCATAAAATGAAAGGGAGAACAAGATATGCCTGCTCGGTAACCTAGTGGAATTCCATAAACATAAGATAATGCATCATGTATGATGGATAAATTGCAAATAAAAATTTGCAACAAAAGAAATCAGAGCATTGTGAATTAATATTGCAAAATGAAATTGCAAACCTCATAGAGAAAGACATCCCATATGCGAAGCGCCAAAGGAAATGGGAACGAATAAGAGAAAATGGTTATGAACCATTGACTTGCATACATGCTCGGATTGATCATTTCTTGAGAAAAATGTTGTCCCAACTTGGGTAAATGTTCTTTCACCAACTGTTCAAACTGAAATAGGTACTGTTGTACAAGTGGCAAACCAACCTGTTCCACAAGCAAAAATAATAATGATAGAATAATGGGAATCTATGCAGTACAGATACTAGAATCATGAAGTCACCTGGTGTCAGACACAATAGATCTATCTTGTATAATATTTTTTGAAATTTGACGTGTGTCTCTCTATCAACATCAATATGTCTATTCCCATGCAAATATCATAGACTAAGATTTATATACATTATTTTGATTTATATGATACTCAGCATCTTCTGTGAATTCTATAAAAGAAATCGATCTGTTCAAACAGCAAATTAGTCGTTATACAGTAAGTATCAGTAGAATACAGGTTTAAAAGGTCAGCCTGGCTAAGTCGTGTCACGAATAAACTACTAAAGATTATGGAAGTCATGGATAATAGAAAAGCATCCAACAAATGAGGGCAGAAAAAACTCAAAATGGTTTAACTGAATAGTGCAGCAAACTTGAGCAGGCCTTGCCAATTTGTTTTCAGCTTTTTCTTAACTCAGGCTGTCCTCGAAATTTCTATTTGATCGACAACAATGGATCTCTTAGTACACCCCATCAATAACTGGATTGGTTAAATAGTTTGCGTAGGAGCTTTTAATTCATAAATCAGCGCACATCAACAGTTAAGTTCACATATTAAGTACTCATATCTTGCGGACATACCAAATACAACCCTTCCATTGGTGCATGAACAGCTCCTTTCAATAAAGCAACTAGTAGCCAAAACGCATCTTCTTCACTCATATAAAGAAGCAGCAAACCAGCTAAAAATCCCATTCCCTGCAAAACAACCCAGAAAAAAGATAATATCCAACAAATCATCAAATGAAGACACCACTATGTCGATAGGAGAAAATAAAAACTAGGCTTGTGCACACCTGAACATAACCAACATCCCTATCGTATACAGAATATGCCTTTAAGACGTTGTACAATGACCTTTGACCTGGCCCATGTCTCTGTTGAAAGAAGACATGTGAAGGAAAAGTTCGCGAAATGTCTCGAATTATGTCCAATTCTGATGCAGATGTTTCATATATCACAAGTTGCTACAGCAGATGGAGTCAAAGAAAAGATGTTATGAGAATCTTATTGCAAGACTTGAAAAACTTTGAATAAAAATTTAGGTATTGGCATGAGAACTTGGAAATAGTAAATCTCAACATGTGCAAGTACTCGCATGGAAGTGAAATATAGAAATAATGAGAACTAGCATTCTCATGAATGAACCCTGAATTGTTTGTGATAATTTAATGCACTACCTAGATTGCTATATATAGATAGTGATTTCCGATAACAAAATGGAAATTTCCATTAATAAGATTGACGTTGCTGCTTCTCAGTATTAAGTTCAGCAATTATTACTCATTTCATCAGATTGCATGGAGTATCTCAAACTACAACATATTTAATATACAAAAAGATCAACCCAAGAACACTCTCGTAAACAAGGGTTTATTGAATATCGTTGTTGTCACGCCCCAGGCCTGCGAGCCCGCTAGCACGATGTAAGCCCTGGGACTCACTGAATGCAACACGTAGTTTGGCTCAATCCACTACCAAAAGTGACTAGCCAATATTACACTTGGCTCTCAAGACCCATTATCTAAACCCTCTTAAACTCTATCAATTTTCCGATGGGGGACTATTAGGGGTTGTTTGTTTGGTAAAAAAAATGCAGAAAAGGCCCCGAAAGAAAACTGACCATGTAAAAAATTGTCAGTTTTCTTTACATTCGGATGTTTGGACTATCAAATAGAAAAAGGAAAGAGGAAAAAGGGAGTTGACACGTCAGCTTTGAAGGAATGTGGGTTTTCTTCTAAGGGGCTGTTTGGTTCGTTTCCTTGATATAGAGAAATGCAATTCCATGTAAAGAAACACAAGTTTTGAGTTTTCCAAACTTTTCCAAGAAATAGATTGTTTTGCTTTGGTTCGCACATAAAAATGGTGAGAAACCAATGTATTTATTTTTCTTGTGTTTGGTTCGCATAGAAAAAAAAGGAAAACTTTTGTAAACAAAGCAGAAAAGGAAAAAAATCTGACGTGGCAGAATTTTCATCAATTTTACTTGGTTGGGGAAGGAAATCAGAGAGGGAAAAAAATTTTAGTTGGCGGCGTTTTCAGCAGAGTTTTCCCTCTTCCATTCGAGCAAACCAAAATGGCACAAAGAAATGGACGGAAACAAAAAAGCTGACGTGGAGGGTTAAAAATCTGACGTGGAGGGGTTTTCTGAGTTTTCCACCCCTTATAATAGCGAACCAAACAGCCCCTAAAAAACCCTGAAATTGGCCGAAAAGGGAGAAAAGGAGGGCGTCGTACATTTCTAGTAATAAATCCCTCTAATGGTAAATTCAAGGTTAATAGTCGGACCAAATTGTTCATTTTAGTTTAATAACGAAGTCATTTTCTTCTTTATTGATTCTTGAATATCAGCAACCTGGATGTTTGTTTCACTATATGTTGCACAAATAACACTTCTTTTAGGCACTTGCTCTTTCCACATTGACTTACGAGCAAACTTCTCAAAATAAGCAACATTGTTTACTAGTGAGGTTGAATTGTTAGTGTGGAAAGATGAAAATTTTGCTACACATAACTGAAAAACCATTTGTTCTGAATACTTAAAGAGTGATTAACATGTTCACTGTTTGATGAAATTCCTCATAGAACGGATGTGTATCTTAGGGTTTGGGTTTGTTGTGTATGTTTGATTGTGGGTCATAGAACAGGCTTGAAATCATTCTATTGAACAATGTGACATGACTTCGTCTGCATTACTTTCCAAAGACATTTTGAATCCCAAGTCTAATAACGTTGTCTTATCATACTACAAATATAGGACACATTTTTTTACTCAACTTACGTTTATTTTTTGTATCTATAATCATTCTAGGTATGGCTGACAACTTCAATTGTAAGGAACTTGATAAAGCCAAATGTAAGAGTACGACATCAAATTCATCTCCTAGAACCCCAAGGAATTCATCAATCCCTTGTGGGTTCAACCCCAGGATTTATGCCTTGTCATTCTTCACAAGTTGGCCAATGTCCTAATTTTTAGAATAATTTTCAAATGCAAGATGCTAACTATTGGGGAATGGGCCAACAATAGCCAATTTCATTCATGAACATGCTAAATGCTCCTCCAACTTTACAACGTCAAAGTTATAGCATAGGTGAAACTCCGTTACCTAATCAACAATGTCAAAGTAACAAGAGAAATGCTATTGATATTGATGGTGATGAAAGTTTATCTCCTAACTCAAAGAGGAACAAGAAAACGCTTCCTCATAAATCTAAAAAGTAAGACACTTAAAAGGGGAGAGTTAACCAATTATGGGAGAGTAAACATGATGATTTGCTAATTCCTTTCCTTACAAAGTGTGCTAAAGATGGAATGAAAGCTGATAAAAAGTTAAAAAAAACCGATTATCGTGAGGCCGCAATTCATATCAATGAACAATTAGATTCAATATTCACAACCGAGAACGTGAAAAATCGTATGAAAACTATCCGCAATAGATATTTTGACATGCAAAAATATCGTAATTTGAGCGGTGCCGGTTGGGATGATGCGAAGAAGTGGTAATTATGGATGATGCTTGCTTTGATAGATGGCTAGAGGTATTTACCATTTTGTTATGTTTATTTTTAATCAAATATTTACCATTTTGTTCCTTATTGTTCATATATGGACTTGATATATGCCTAAACTATGTAGGGCAAGAATATCAATAGTTCTAAGCTTAGGAAATACATCAATAAGCCCATGAAACATTATGAAGACCTCGCAAGTCGCAACTATTATTGGAGATGATGTTGCTAGAGGAGACTATGCTGTAGATGTGTTGGATAAATTTGACGGTAGTGCACATTTTAACATTGGTGATGATGATGATATTAGTATGCCAAAGAAGAACACGTCTAGCTATGTCTCTTTAGATGAAGATGATATTCTACCACCGAAGGTCCCAATTATGACCTCAAACTCTAATCTAACTTCTAGTGTGAACAAAGCTAAAAATGATGTGTCAAAGATGCGTAAAGAAAAGGGGGGAGGTCTATTGAGGACACTGTGCTTATGCGTGAGATAGTAAACGAGGTACAATAGTTCACATCATCTATGCGCATGGTGAGTATGCATTGGACTGAGAAGTTGGCAAAAGCTATATTTGCACATGATGATGAATTTAACATATAAATTCTTGATAAGTTTTATCAAAAATTGCATAAGAATGAATCACAAGCTAGGTTTTTTATGAGGAGACCAACTATTATGCAAAAGAATGTGTTGACTGAGTTCATGAAGAGTCAACCTATTGATTAGAGTGGTGGAAGGTTGGATTGGATGATTTTGGGATATTTTTATGAAACTAACTAATTATATCAATGCTAGTACTGTTATTTTTGTATGTAAATGAGCTAGATGATTGCTCATCCTTTTGTCTACTAACTATGATAGATATATTAAACTTTCTTTTGTGCAAAACTAATGCTACTATCTCTATCTTCATGCACATCAGTCGTGACTTTACATGCTTAGTATTCAGTTTATAGACTATATATATACATTTTACATGTTATATTGAATATTTGATTGCTAAATGCTAATGCATACTTGTTTGATAGGTTTACAAGTGGGATAAAGTGGTTTCAGTTTGCCTTTCCCATATTTAATATAGATTTGGTTGATTGATGCTTTGGTTTCAAACTTGAGTTAACTTAATCAATAAGATTGAACTCCTACTCAGTGAATCTGTTGTTGTGTTAAGACACTAGATTGTATGCTTGATACCAAAGTATATTTTTCCAAATACTTTGCCACATGGCATAAACTACCTTGTAGAACTTCTTCATCTGTTGTTGTGCTAAAGATGGATTTGATTTCATCTGATACTCTTTGGAGTTCATTTTGCCGTCCACATTGCCTTGCACAGGCAACATACCCTTCTTCCTCATGACTGGATTCATTTTGTCGTCCATGTTCTATATACTAGTCTTTGGTGTTTGGTTTTTAGTTCTTGGCTATATGACTTGCTTTAGTTTTAAAATTGTGAATATTTGTTATTAATTGGTTGAAATGGTTGTTATGACATTGGTAATGTGATATTATGCTATGATGATGGTCTCTTTTTAATGTATGTGGCCAAAATTTATACTAGTAATCAATTGACGAGGCAATACATGCAGTCAACATTACTATTATAAATTTTATGGCGAGTCATACAATGAAGAAAATGGTCATAATTGAGCATATTTTTCTCTTGAGCATCAGGTTTTATCAAATCTTAGTTTATTAGGCATTTTGATTCTTCGTTATATGAGATGGTTATATGATTTTGATAAACCTAATTTTGTTTCTCGGTTCTTGGTTATATACTTAGTTTTGACACTAGTTGATTCTTTTGGTGTTCTCTATGAACTTGATTCTTGGTTATGCTTCAGTTTTGTTTTCACTTGATAGCATTTATTTTTGCACGTGCTATTACTCTTGAGCATATATATGTTTAAGTGTGTAGCGCTTTTGTATACACAATTTTACTCTTTGTTGGTTGGGTATGGTTATAATTAGTTTTGGCAAAAATCAATATAGTATCAATGTGTTCGTGGCTTATAACAATTATTTGTTCTTGGTTACATGACATGGCTATGATGATGCTCTTTTCTTTACATATGCAACCAAAATTATATACTAGCGATCTATATGACATGCATGATATCGTAACTTTTTGTATAATTTACATCATTTTCCTTGTCTGGTGTCTAGATATATATAAGTTTTGTGTTCAGAATAGGACTGCTAGTCTACATAAAAAATTAATAAAATTTTTATGTTCGGGGTTAATATTATGTCCTCAATTTTAAAATTAATTCCTCAAATATAGGAGCATTTTGAAATTCTCCCTTAACTGTTCATATTTTGAAATTATCCCCTCAAATCTTTAAATATTTTGCAAATCACTACCTCAAATCTTTTTTAAAAATTTCAAACTAGTCCCTCAAAAATTTGAATATTTTTATGCGACAATTGATATATGTTCACCTCTCAATTTATGTTAGAAATAAATTTATCCTATAAGGGTGGTAAGCACACAATGGTGACCATAGTCATGGTTTCTTTTTTTTTATTTGAACTAAACACTAGAAAATGAGGGAATCTATTCACACATCAATTGTTTTTTTTCTTTTTTCAAATTGAACCAAACTAAGAAAAGTGGTGGAAAGTACTTTCACCCCATATTTTTTGGCGAAACAAATACAAGAAACACTTTTCATGAAAGTGAAGGAAACACAAAAAAGTGAAGAAAAATCATTTTTGAAAAATGAAGGAAAGGAACCAAACAGGCCCTTAGTGGAACATCACAATCACCCCACCTTTTCAATACGCGATGTCCTCGTTGCGACATAGACATTAGCACATTCCAATATCATTGCCAGGTCATGTAGACTCTAGAGGTGGCTCCCACTGCACTCACACGGTATAACACTTAGTCCCGCATAGTACTTAGCTCCACATTTCCGCCTAGCTAACTGCTCTAATACCATTTGTCATGCTCCGATCCCACAAGCCCATTGGGGCGATGTAAGCCATGGGACCCACTGAGTGTAACACGTGGTTTAGCTCAATTCACTACCAAAATTGGCTAGTCAATGTTGCACTTGACGCTCAAGACCCATCATTTAAATCCTCTTAAACTCTATCAATTTTTCAATGTGATACTATTAGTGAGGCATCACAGTAGTAGTACAAAATTATTTATACTCTCCGCCAAAAAAGTTAACATTTCAAGAAGTTTCACCTGTCGTAAACTCCAGGATAATGGAAGTTCTAAGTTGTGCTTTGTAGGATAACAGAAGGACTGATCTGTTCCTTATCTATCTTACAGGAAACTTAAGTGATGTATGTCAGTTATTGGTTTATGTCTTTATATGTCATAATATTTCCACAACATTTTATGGTGGTATATGTATGACATTTCAAGTGACAATAGAAAATGACAATACCTCGTAAACTCCAGGATTCATGAGCAGGAGGTCGCGACTTCCAGAAATCAACTGCCAAACAAGTCCTCTCAAACAATCAGGAATCCCCTTTCTGATACGCCGTTTAACAACATTAGGTTTTCTTCTGACATAATGTTTCCAATCACTCCCACCAACACCTATCATTTTTCTCCACTTCCTAATTCTCCTTTCTTCCCTGAAAAAGAATTGATAACAGTAGGTAGAAAATTAAGCGATACTCTCTAAATGGCGAGTAACTAGAACATGTTTCAGTAACAAATCACATGGCCACTTGACTCACAACTTAGTATCTAGAATGGTTAGTAATGAAAGCTTCATGTCTATATTCATGTTTTATACATCTCTAAGTCTTGACCTATAATGCAAATGGGTACATAATGATTTAGATCAAGCAAAAAAAATACTTCAAAAGGGGAGCACATATCAATTAATAATGATTCACTTCTAATCTTGTATAACCCCCATATTTTTAGTATTTTAAAAATTATCACCCGAATTTTCATATTTGCAAATTTACTCCTGAATTTGTGGGCAAATGCAATCTACAAAGTTACCATTAGCAAATAAAAGCGGAAATTCCTCAGTTTTGTTAAGATAAACAACGTACTAGTATAATACAAACCTCTCCTGTTCATTGATGGGTTTGCTTTTAGCTGAGCCTTCCTGAGAGTTAGTCTGATCCTGTTTGACAAATCCAAACCTGTCGACTGGTCTTAAAGGGGGAACTGGTCCTGGCTCAAACTCATCAGTAGCTTTTTTCTTTTCCATTCCACTAGTTCATATAATCCTTTTCATCTAGTATGAGGTTGGAGCAGCTCACTCCTCTTCTTCGCCTGATCATCCATTAGAAGATCCTATAAATCAAAGAAATGGTCTTAGGGAAACTGGATGGTGAATGAGATTCCACGCTAAGAATTATAATGCATGAAACCAGTGAAAGTTTTCTCGCAAACGATTTTGAAATTGGACCTTAAACTCACTGATCTCATAAGAATTATTTGGATTCGATCGAAACTCTGATCTAAAAGATCTAATAACTCTCCAAACAATTGTAGCAACAAATCGACAACAACAAATGATGAATTTTACTCTATAAACCCAGATGAATGTCAATCAAATAGGATTTAAAAATGAAACTCAGGAATCCTTCCATAACAAAGAACAATTTAGTTGAAACCGAGAATTGAAAAAAAAAACACGACACAAGAGATGATCCCAATAGAAGAAAAGGAATAATGCAGGGACAAGACAACTACAAGGAGGCAAGACCATCATATAACAGCTGCAAATATTCCACGCATATTAACAACTTCAGATAAACTAATAATACGTACAAATTGAAACACCTAATAAAAATTCGGTACATAAGTTACTACAAGTTGGTAAATTCATAAATGGGTTTTTACAAATAAGTGAAATTTCACATACATTAACATATATTAACAACTACAGATAAAGTAATAATACTTACAGATTGAAACAGCTAATAAAAAATCAGCACATATTAATACAAGTTGGAAAATTCATAAACGGCTTTTCACAAATAACTGAAATTTCAACTTCAGATCATTCAGACAAGTACATGGATCACCATAGAAGTGTCACAATAAAAAAAAATTCCTCTAAAGTTTCAATCTACCATTCAAATTGTGAGTCCCACTTACTGGAAACCAAAAAAATGAAGTAAAATTGAGATTCAATTTCGTGAATTTAGCATAAAAACATTTACAAGCAATCAATTGCAGATTAGATTCAAAGTGAATGAGAGAGAGCGAGAGAGAGAGAGGAGAGCGAACCGGGAGGATGTGAAGAGCTCGAAGAAGGAGATTAGATTTCGATGGAAGTAAGAGAGATTTTTTTTTTTTTTTGGCCGTTTTGTTTTTGTTTTGTCCCCAAAGCTTCTGAGAATAATTAAGAGAGAATAATCAATGTTACGCTTTGGCTGGAACAAGTCGGGTTGGATTGCATCCAGCTTAAACCCGGATCCGACTCTAACATAAATTCGGATTTTTTTTATTTGGAGTTTTGACATATTAAACCCTATCATTGGATCTTTTCGGAGATTAGTCACTAACAAACATTGCAATTGTCATTAGGTCCCCTGGTTCTTATATTTTCCTACTGCTAACCTCAGTTGGGCTAATATCAAAAAACACAAATTTATGTTAGAACATGAAATCGTCGTATTTCTAATTTACATCCCAAATATATTAAGTTTTTCTTTAAATAACACCTCAAAACATATTAAGCTGTCACATTAGGTCCTAATCGTTTTTTTTTCTTTTCTTATATGGCAACCAAATCTTCATGCTTATAATTTATACCCTTAGTCTGTCAAGTTGTTTTAAATGACAATAAATAAGTGCCTATTACATAGTTAAATCGTACAAGGGATGTTATATAAATTTTTTTCTAGAGATCTCAATATGCAAATTAAAAACATGAAGATTTGGAGGCCTCATACAAAATTAAGAAAAATTTAAGGCCTAGTACGACAAAAATCCTAATTTTAATCCACTGAATATTTTTTAAATAATTTTGATGCGTAAAAGAATAGATGTGATTACAAGATAATCTAAAAACTGAATAAATCTCTTTTTCTTGTACGTCTCTTGCTTCAAGTTCTTAATAAATCTTTTTTAGATGGATTGATCAGCTTCATGTTTGACCTGACGTTTAACCCCCCCCCCCCCAAAAAAT